TGGTGGGTTTTGGTGGGTTATGCACGGCCCAGGTGGGGAACACAAGGAAGGAGGGATATGGCAGGTTCTTTGGCTTCTTATGAGTTGGGTTTTCTTGATGAATTATGAGCCAGTATATGCTGAATTGTTCTTGGCCTGTTATGGTTGTTTATTCAGCTTGGTTGGGGAAACACAAGGGGACCACTGCTAGTACTTATTGGAGAAATAATGGGTTGGGTTTTGGCTCCTAGTTTTCGGCCATTCCAGGAAAAAGAAAAGGGTTTGTGGATTTACCATGTGGTTTGAAGTGTGATGAGGTGTTGTGGGGGTGTGTGGGTTCGGCCAGGGTAAAAAAAAGGAAGGGACTTGGGTTTGATTTGGATATTTGGGAGGGGTGGTTTTGGGTGGTACTTTTCGGCCATCAAGGTGGGGCAAGGTCCAATAGGACCAGGGTCGGGTTGTATGGTTTATGGGTGATGTATTCATTCCAAAAAGGATTAAAACACTTGGACATTATTCCACAGATTTGTTTAAGGAATCGAGGATCGTTGTTGGGGGTCAGGGGTATATCACAAATAAGGGAGGAACAATCGACTAACCATTCCAACATTAATTTAACATTCAACGTATAAAACCAAACTAGTCCGGACCCAGAGATCCGGACCCTAACTCATACTATGGAAACATAAATTAAAACATCATTTTATTAAATAAAGAAAACTAAATAAGGCAAGAACAATTGACTAACCATTCCAACATTAATTTAACATTAAAAGTATACAACCAAACTAGTCCGGACCCAGTGGTCCGAACCCTAACTCATACTATGCAAACATAAATTAAAACATCATTTTATTAAATAAAGAAAACTAAATAAGGCAAGAACAATTGACTAACCATTCCAACATTAATTTAACATTAAAAGTATACAACCAAACTTGTCCGGACCCAAGGGTCCGAACCCTAACTCATACTATGCAAACATAAATTAAAATAGCATTTTATTAAATAAAGAAAACTTACAACCTCCGTACAAGTGGAACAAAACAGATCTGGAGTCAAATCCTCCAAAAATTATTCCAAAAGTACTAATATGCTAAACTATAACTCGAACGGAAGTGTGGAGCACTAATCCCGAGATTGGGACTGAGAGTGATGCTGGAATGGCGTGAAATGCGCTATATTTATAGGACAGAGGCCGAGGCGTTCAAGTTGAAGGCGTTCAAGTTGAAGCGTCTAAAGTCCAAGCGTCTAGATCGGGACGCTTGAGGTGTTCCAGCCAACAAGGTTTTGCCACATGTCAGTCTTGGAGCGTGATTTAAGCCAGGCGTCCAACTCAAAGTGTCCAAGTCCTGGCGTCCAAGTTGGACGCCTTAAGGCTTTGGTTCGTTGGGCTTCGCGGCTGGTGCGAGATCTTGGACCAAATTCGCTCCTTTTCGGCCTGAATGTCGATTTTAACCTCCCGGAAGCTCGTTCAAGCTTGTACCTTTATGCTTTACATATTTATTCCCTATTCCCCAAGCATTTGAACATAAAATGGATGATTTTATGATGATTTCATGTGGAATACCTTTTTATGACTCTTAGATCGAAAATGAGAGTTTTATCGATTAAAAATACATTTTATGAGATGATTTAATACTTATTTACGTGCAACTACATTTAGAACATGATGTAAATGATAAGAACAAAACAGACTTATCACAAGTTCAAGTCCGGCCCCTAGAAAGAGCCAAAAGAAAACTCAAGTTTGAGGGCAAACTCTTTCGAAGAAGGGGAGGATGTTAGATATCTGGGAGCATCAACGGAGACTTTCCTTAGCCCGCAAAAGGAAAGACGAAATAGGGGAATAAATCCAAGGTGTGGTGACGTTGTTTGGGTTGAATTCTGATAAAGGATTTCTTTGCGCTGGCTAAAAATCCCGTAGTAGTGTAGAGAAGAAACTAGATGTTAGATATCTGGGAGCATCCACGAAGAATTTCCGTAGCCCACAAAAGGGAAGGCGGATCAAAAGAATGAGGCCGAAGTGTGGCGACGTTATTTGGATTAAATTCACTTCGTTGCCCTATCTCAAAGCCCAAACTGACGCTGTGGTTGTCCTACACCCCCCCTAGGTCGAACAAACACCCCACCCAACCCTAAACATCCAAAAACATTTCCTTTCTCCAAATAAAGTTTTCCCACCCTTATTTTAGCCCCTAGCCAAAATGAGAATGTGTGAATCAAAACCTTTTGTTTGTTGTTATTTTCCTTCTTTTAAGCCTTTACAATAAACAAATAAAACCCTCTCTCCTTCCTTTATTTCTTGGCCAATTAAATCTCACAATCCCAACATAAACACCCACAAAAGGCCAAAAACCTGACCCACCACTAGTCATTCATTTCCTGCCCATATTCCCTTACAAATAACCCAATCCCATAAGTCCAAAACCCCACATTATATTCCCCATCCCTGCCTGGCCGAATCAACCCACCCAATACCCTCCAAAATGGCAGCCACTCCACCATAACTTGCCCACAATAATAACCCAACAACAGCCCCACAAACCAGCCCCCATCTCTGATTTCTTTCCATTAAGGAGACAAGAATAAATGGGAATTATCCCATGTTTTTGAAATAGTTGCTTCCAGGAAGTTTCCTCATGTTTTGTCCTATGTATTTCCCCCTTCCCCTCTCCCTATATAAATCAGGCCCTATGGCCAAATGTAACACATCTTTGAATATTAAAAACTTCTTTTACTCTTTGAGTAATTATAAAATAGTGTGATGCTATTTTAGCCAAATTCCTAATTCTTAAGTGTGAGTTTTAGGTTCTAGATATTTAATTAAGTGTGTCATATCTTAATTAAATTCTGGATTCAAACCCCAAGTTAGGATAAGAGTGTGTAATATCTCTTAAACACCAACTTGGTTTATCCATCCCTGATTTTCTTCCATTTTCATATCCCCCCATTTCTCCTCTCAATCTCACTCTTTTCTTCCAATTAAAATACCCAAAAGAACTCCCTCATCAACTCCATATATTTCTAGTCCATGCCCCCACAAAAACACCCTTCTTCCTGCCCAGAATTCTGCCAAATATTCGATTATCATTCCCCACAATCGATTATCAATCCNTCTTAAGTGTGAGTTTTAGGTTCTAGATATTTAATTAAGTGTGTCATATCTTAATTAAATTCTGGATTCAAACCCCAAGTTAGGATAAGAGTGTGTAATATCTCTTAAACACCAACTTGGTTTATCCATCCCTGATTTTCTTCCATTTTCATATCCCCCCATTTCTCCTCTCAATCTCACTCTTTTCTTCCAATTAAAATACCCAAAAGAACTCCCTCATCAACTCCATATATTTCTAGTCCATGCCCCCACAAAAACACCCTTCTTCCTGCCCAGAATTCTGCCAAATATTCGATTATCATTCCCCACAATCGATTATCAATCCCATTGGAAACACCTACAGGGATCAATAATCGATTATTCTTTGCAGATAATCGACTATTAGCTTCCCCAGAAATTCTGCAGCCTTCAGTAATCGATTGTCACTTTGTGTAAATCGATTATCTCCTGCTCCAGAACCCTGAACTCAAAGTTGAATCATTCCTTGAGTCCCCCTCAAAATAGCAACTCGTTTAGACCCCCGGTTCGGGTATAAGATTTGGTATCAGAGCTAAGTGTTGAACATCCCCAAGGGCCACTCACCATCACTCCCTACCCTCTTCCCTAAAACCCCACAGCCAAACTAAATGACCTTCCTCACCTTTTCCCACACCAATCATGTCAAATGAATCCCAACCCCTGTCTCATGAGGAGCTTGTTGCCTCCAATGCCGCTTTGAAGGCCCAAGTAGAGTACTTGGCTAAAGAGGTAGCCAAGCTTACGAAGATGAAACTCAACGAGCACCAAGGAAGTGACCGTGAAGAAGACGTTAGCTCTAGTGGAACCATGAAGCCTAAAGCCAATGAAGGTTCTGACTTCAAAGTTGACATTCCAACTTTTGAAGGGAAGAACGATCCGGATGAGTTCCTCGAGTGGCTAGAAACAGTGGAACACGTCTTTGACTTCAAAGATGTTTCCGACGAAAAGAAGGTCAAGATAGTGGCCTTAAAGTTCCGGAAGTATGCATCAACTTGGTGGACTAATACGTGCACCAAGAGGTGAAGAAACGACAAAGAACCGGTGTCCACGTGGGCCAAAATGAAGTCTCTCCTAAAGAAGAAGTTCTTGCCTGCGGAATATGTTCGTGAGAATTTTGCCAAGCTTCAAACGCTTAAGAAAGGTTCAAAATCCGTGGAGGATTATAACCGAGAGTTCGAGGAAGTCTTACTGAGGTGTGACCTACAAGAAGACGATGAGCAAACCTTTGTACGCTACCTATTTGGCCTAAACACCCAGGTCGCCAACACAGTGGAGCTTCAAACCTTTGAGAACCTTGAAGAGTTAACCAAGTTAGCACTTAAGGTGGAAGCCCAACCCAAGAAGGGCAAATCTTCTTTGAGCCGTAGAAATTCTTCCTACCCTAATACATCAAATTCCACCCCCTTTTCTGCCCAAAACCCCATGGATCCCTCCCCTCAAAATCTTAAAATCGTGCACCCTATTTCCTCACAGAATGCCTCTCCTCTTTCAAAACCAAGTTCCTCAAGTAGCCGAGTCCCACAGTGTTTTCGTTGCCAAGGCGTTGGTCACTATGCTAGTGATTGTCCAAACAAAAAGATCATGGCTATTGTTGAATGTGAAGAAGAAGAAATGAATCCATTTTGGGTTCAAGGAGAGCCGAACGAAGAAGAAGTTGTTGGTCCCGATGAAGGTGAGCTTTTGGTCATTCAAAAGACCATTAGTCATGCAGCTGCCCAGGATGATACCACACACCGAGAGAGTATTTTTCATACTCGTTGCACCATTCAAAACAAGGTGTGTTCAATGATCATTGATAGCGGGAGTAGTGCCAACGTTGTTTCCAAAACAGCGGTGGAAAAGCTCAATTTAAAGGTGATGCCACATCCGAAGCCTTATGAGATTCAATGGTTGAATCTTAATGAAGGGATACGTGTGAATACACGTAGCTTGGTTTCCTTCAGCATGGGTTAGTCCTTTCATGATGACGTATGGTGTGATGTGATCCCTATGAGAGCGTGTCATATTCTCCTCGGGAGGCCCTGGTTATATGATCATAGAGTTACCTACGATGGTTTCACCAACTCGTATTCATTTGAGATGGATACAAGGAGACTCACTCTTGTTCCGATGATTCAAGGCCAGGCACAACTGCCCCAGGCACAATCTCCATCCATATTTTCCATCATTATGAAGTGCAAATATTCAAGGCCCAAAGAGTCACCCCATGAACCATTGTTGGACCCTAAACAACCCTTGTGTCTCGTTGAAAATCCCCGACACGAACCCTGCTGTAAAAGGAGAAATCATGGGACCGCGTTAATACTAACGGCCTTCAGTGCCAATATTTTTATGTCTCATTTGTAGGGATTCCATGGAGGAATGCGTGGGAAAAAGAGCATTCATTTCGAGTGTGCAAAGTTGTGTTTCCAAATTTCCCTCTTCCGAGAACCAAAGCAAAGCATGTTCGAAGATGAAGCTTCAAACGTGATTGAGTAACACCCCGAAGATGAACTCGAAAAAACTCGAGTTTGAGGGCAAACTCTTTCGAAGAAGGGGAGGATGTTAGATATCCGGGAGCATCCACGAAGACTTTCCGTAGCCCACAAAAGGGAAGGCGGATCAAGTGAATGAGGCCGAAGTGTGGCGACGCTATTTGGATTAAATTCACTTCGTTGCCCTATCTCAAAGCCCAAACCGACGCTGTGGTTGTCCTACACCCCCCCTAGACCGAACAAACACCCAACCCAACCCTGAACATCCAAAAACATTTCCTTTCTCCAAATAAAGTTTTTCTACCCTTATTTTAGCCCCTAGCCAAAATGAGAATGTGTGAACCAAAACCTTTTGTTTGTTGTTATTTTCCTTCTTTTAAGCCTTTCCAATAAACAAATAAAAACCCTCTCTCCTTCCTTTATTTCCTGGCCAATTAAATCTCACAATCCCAACATAAACACCCACAAAAGGCCAAAAACCTGACCCACCACTAGCCATTCATTTCCTGCCCATATTCCCTTACAAATAACCCAATCCCATAAGTCCAAAACCCCACATTATATTCCCCATCCCTGCCTGGCCGAATCAACCCACCCAATACCCTCCAAAATGGCAGCCACTCCACCATAACTTGCCCACAATAATAACCCAACAACAGCCCCACAAACCAGCCCCCATCTCTGATTTCCTTCCATTAAGGAGACAAGAATAAATGGGAATTATCCCATGTTTTTGAAATAGTTGCTTCCAAGAAGTTTCGTCATGTTTTGTACTATGTATTTCCCCCTTCCCCTCTCCCTATATAAATCAGGCGCTATGGCCAAATGTAACACATCTTTGAATATTAAAAACTTCTTTTACTCTTTGAGTAATTATAAAATAGTGTGATGCTATTTTAGCCAAATTCCTAATTCTATATCTTAAGAGTAATTATCTTAAGTGTGAGTTTTAGGTTCTAGATATTTAATTAAGTGTGTCATATCTTAATTAAATTCTGGATTCAAACCCCAAGTTAGGATAAGAGTGTGTAATATCTCTTAAACACCAACTTGGTTTATCCATCCCTGATTTTCTTCCATTTTCATATCCCCCCATTTCTCCTCTCAATCTCACTCTTTTCTTCCAATTAAAATACCCAAAAGAACTCCCTCATCAACTCCATATATTTCTAGTCCATGCCCCCACAAAAACACCCTTCTTCCTGCCCAGAATTCTGCCAAATATTCAATTATCATTCCCCACNATCTTAAGAGTAATTATCTTAAGTGTGAGTTTTAGGTTCTAGATATTTAATTAAGTGTGTCATATCTTAATTAAATTCTGGATTCAAACCCCAAGTTAGGATAAGAGTGTGTAATATCTCTTAAACACCAACTTGGTTTATCCATCCCTGATTTTCTTCCATTTTCATATCCCCCCATTTCTCCTCTCAATCTCACTCTTTTCTTCCAATTAAAATACCCAAAAGAACTCCCTCATCAACTCCATATATTTCTAGTCCATGCCCCCACAAAAACACCCTTCTTCCTGCCCAGAATTCTGCCAAATATTCAATTATCATTCCCCACAATCGATTATCAATCCCATTGGAAACACCTACAGGGATCAATAATCGATTATTCTTTGCAGATAATCGACTATTAGCTTCCCCAGAAATTCTGCAGCCTTCAGTAATCGATTGTCACTTTGTGTAAATCGATTATCTCCTGCTCCAGAACCCTGAACTCAAAGCTGAATCATTCCTTGAGTCCCCCTCAAAATAGCAACTCGTTTAGACCCCCGGTTCGGGTATAACATTTGGTATCAGAGCTAAGTGTTGAACATCCCCAAGGGCCACTCACCATCACTCCCTTCCCTCTTCCCTAAAACCCCACAGCCAAACTAAACGACCTTCCTCACCTTTTCCCACACCAACCATGTCAAATGAATCCCAACCCATAGCCCGAACACTAAATTATTTCTCCCAAAAAAGGACACTAATGCATGGTTGTTATTCCTTTAGAACTGTGTGAAGGAGCTGCTTGATAGCCCCCGTTATTTGTGTATTTATATCTCGGCCTAGGGCCTTTGCAATGCATGTATTGTATTCTGATTTTAGCAGTTAGCAATACACTTGTGTGTGTTCTCTTTAATTTTCTAATTTTATATCTTAAGAGTGGTTCTCTTGAGTGTGAGTTTTAGGTTCTAGTTATTTAAATAAGTGTGTCATATCTTATTTGAATACTAGATTCAACGCCAAGTTAAGATAAGGGTGTATGATATCCCTTAACACCAACTTGGTTTATCCATCACTTTAACTCTGCCCATTTCATTGTTGAAACACGGGTTTATCACATTTTTGTACTAAATTCGTGTTCGTTTTTATGACAGATTTTGATAATGCCAAACCACCGCGATCAAGACAAAGTGTTGAATATACAAGGCGAGAAATGAATACAAGAACAAGAGCTAAAAGAGACCAAGAATGAAGACCGTAGTTTTAGTGTCGTTGAGTCGGTCACAAATGTGATCAAGACCGACCCAAAACCTCACACCTTGGCTCTTTAGGATAAAACGTTTTTATTGCATTTCACATATTATCAAAATGTTTTTCAAACATGTTTAACACATCAAAAATACTTGATGTTCGCCCAAACCAAAAACCAAGCCATCCGGAGTTCGGCTTTCAGAAACCAGCATTCGGCATTCGGTTATCTGCGTTAGTTTTTGGCGTCTGAACCAACCAAGTGGTTTTAAACATTTTCTAATTGGTTTTTAGTTCTTGGCATATTTAAATTGTTCTCCAAAAAAAAACTTTAAAAACCACCTTTCACTTTTGGTCGTTTGACAAAAACCATGCGAAACGACATAAACTTGGCTAGCCGTGGTTTTTGTTCAAATGACATGGTTTTTAAAGTGTCTCACTTGATTTCTTAGCCAAATACATTAAATAAGTGTTTTAAACACTTAGTTTTTATTTTGGAGAACTTTGCATTTTCGGTCGGTTTTAGCATCGGTTGGCTAGGTCATGGTTCAGACAAAAACCATGGGTTTTTGACTAACTATCAACCCAGCAATGGGAAGCATTACCCATCTGTTGTACCCGTGACCCAGGGTGGTCTAGGATATCAATTTAAGAAGAGAAAGAAGAAGAGAAGGTGTAGAAACAAGGGGGAGGGAAATAAGCATTTATCAAGTGAATATAAGAGGAGTCACACACACTTATCTTCACTCGCGTTAAACTCTAGTATTTAAATATGGAATCACTCAACTTATTTAATATATCTAGAACCTAAAATTCCCACTTAAGAGAACCACTCTTAAGATATAGAATTAGGATTTAATATATAGAATTTAGTAACAGAGAGAGCTGAGCAAGAAACTTATATTATCACAATATATATTTTACAAGCTGATTAATACAATGAACCAGGGCTGAAATATATAGGCCATGGAATGGAGAAAGCAATACAACAAACATGATAAATAAAATACAACAAAGGAAACTTCCCGCTTCTTTCCTACAAAATAAAACAAATGCTACGCATGTGTTAATATCCCAAATGAGTTGAATTCAAGGTTAATGATCAAGGATTTGGCATGTATTTTGGGTGGTCTTAATGTATGATTTTCGTCCTTAAGGTGGGAGAATAAAGGAAACAACATGGTTTGACTTTTAGTGAGTAATAGGACAAGATATTACTATTCAATCAAAGACTTTTTGTGCAGGCACATGGATGAGGGATTAAGCTTATAAAAGTCTTTGATTTTGTTGAATAACATGAGAATTTTGTCCATATATAGTGGGAATGGTATTTAGTCAAGTGTGTTCCTAAATGACAAAACCTTTACTGTTAAATCAGAGACCACTTTGGTTTCTAGGTTCTGAGACAGGTGATAATCGATTATCTATTACTGATAATCGATTAACAAGGTGTGTCTACTAAACCAAGAATTTTCTGAGGCATCCAGTAGTCGATTGACACAAAAAGATTAATCGATTATCAAGGACTGGTTTCCAAACTAGATATCTTCTGAGATGAGTGATAATCAATTTTCTATTGGGAGATAATCGAGTATGGAGCATTGCAGGAATACGTTAGGAGAATTCAGAGGGAAGATTTAGTCGATTATCTATGTTGGATAATCGATTATCATGTTTAAGAAAAAATAAACAAAGGTTTTATTTTGTCTTTTGTTGTTCACCTTCGGCTTCGGCTTAGTAATGAATAACAGACTTTATTTTGGGTAGAGGAAATGAGTTTGGATGTTGTGGGAGAGGGTTTGTGGGTTGTGATTTGGTTAGGGTGGAATTTGGGCAACAAGGGCTAAGGGTTGGGTTTTTTGATGGGAAAAAGGAATAAATTCAACCCAATTAGGATTATAACACTCAAGCATTAACCCCTGATTTTTCTTACCCTTTTGTGATGCATGGTGGGGTACAACATCCTCCCCGTCTTCAAAAGAGTTTGACCTCAAACTCGGAGTATAAATTGGCTTGGAATGATCATTGAGGTCTCTCGTGTTTACATTCACGTTCCCACAAACATGCTGGTTGACTTGAGTCATTGCTATCGTCTCACGACGAGTTTCATCTATGTATTCAGATTTACCAGCTCGTATCAATGTTGA